GGAGTTGGCCCGGCCGGGCCCTGAGCTGCCGCGGCCGCGGCTCCTGGGTGAGCACCAGGCGGGGGGCGCAGGGCGGAGTCGGGGGCGGCGCGGGCCCGGCGATGGGGGAGGCTTGCCGGGAGGGAGCGGGGCTGAGTTCATTGTGCCGGGCAGGAGGGCGCGGGGGCGCGGGCCGGAAGGGTCCTCGCGCCTCCTTCCCCCACGCCTCCCCGCCCCACGATGCTTTTCTTCTCTGCGCGCCCCTCTTGGATGTAGGGGTCTGCCCTCCCGGCTGCACTCCGCCTTGCTTTGGGGCGCCGGAGCTCTTTGTAGGAAGATCTTGGGGGCGCGTCCCTCAGGGCTTCTGAGAGGCCCTTCCCACCAGCCCTCCCCATGTCTACTGTGCCGCCAGAAGCCCCCTTTAAGACCCCCGGGAAGGGAGGACAACGGTGCGTGCCCTGGGCCCGGCTGATAGGGGTCGTGCCGCCTCGGGCCAAGAGGCTTCACGCCCCGCTCTGGGACAGGTGTGTGGGGCGAAGCGGCCTCGACCCTCGGCTGGAATCCGTGAGGACCAGGTGAGCAGCATCCTCCCATTCGGCGCTCAGGGCGCTGTCTCCCCGAGCCTGGGCGGGAGGGGCGCCCAGAAGTCTCCCGGCCAACACTGGCGCCCCGGGGTGGGCTCCTCTGCCCTTCAGATCTTCGAGACGGAGATTCGGTTAGCTTTGGGGGGACTTGGCCAGCCTTCTGCGCCAGAGCTTAACCCCCTTGCAACCTTTTGACAAAGGCATGTGGGGTGAGAATGTCTGTTGGATAACTGGGATGTTCCTGCGCTCCAGAGAGGGCTGCTGTCCAGTAAGCACACCGCCATGCACTGGCATCACTTTATAGCACATCTTTGAGGCTATTTTTGTTCCTTATTGTACCTTTCATCGTTTTGCGGAGTGCTTTCAAGAACAGGTCATTTGATCTTCCTCCCTTGAAGCAGGGAGGTGGTGTGGTTTTGGAGGGAAAAGACCTCAGTTCCTTGATGTGTCCACTGGGGGTAATGATAACCTCAGGTGAGCCTGTCTTGGCTGCTGGAGGCCTGGGAGGATGGGCATCGCTGTGCCTCCTCCCCAGCCAGCCAGGCGGGATTCAGCCCAGCCTCTTCTCCAGCTGGACCTGGACGTAGCAATGAGCTCGGGAGACTGGGTGGCGTCGGGAAATAGATGGCTTGCCCTTATAATGCATCTTACTGCAGCCACTGAAACAGGTGAGAAGAGGCGTTTCCCAGCCCTCAGAGCAGAAAGACGAGGTGGGAGGGACCTCAGTTCACACAGAGGGAGGCTCTTTTTTCAACTCCCTTTAACTGGGATGCATGCCACCCATTTCAACCACTTCTTCCAGAGCATCCTTCTTCCTGTCCTAGTTCACACCCATCTTCTTTTATACTTGTAAGATGCTTACAGGCACTTTCATATACACTGTTTTGTTTTCATTCACGTAACAGCCCTATGAAGTGCTATTAGCCCATTTTATAGGTGAGAAAACTGAGACTCCAGAGAGGCGAAGTACTCTGCTCAGCTAGTAAGAAGCCAAGATTGAACTCTGGTCTTTTCAGTTGGCAGTGCTTTTCTCTGTGGCTTCCATTACACAGGCGGCTCCTTGAACTCAGGACATGGCAGGAGATTAGAGACCCCTCATAGAGAGGCCTGCTTCACATTTTAGAAACTAACTCCAAGGCCTCAGGTACTCAAATCCTTCTCTTTGTGCTGCAGCCCTGTGCAGTAGAGTCTGAGAGAGAAGGAGAGCCATGTGGTCACAGGGGCTGAGCTCTTTGTTTTGGTTCCGTGGAAGGCACAATGGGCTGAACGGGAACTAACCTAAATGTCAACCAAAGGAGGTACAGTTCTGTGGTGTAAACTCTGCTGCTGGCTGGGGCTAGCCAGGAAGCCGGTGTGCAGGAGGAGGGTGGGCCAGAGGGCAGGGTGGGGACTGTGTGTAGAGCATGCCTCTCGGTAAAGAGGCAGGTGCAGGTGTGACAAGGCGCCAGCACATTGTTGCCTGATCTGAATTTTGGGGGAAGCTGTTAATTTTTATAGAAAACTCCATGTTTTTAAAGTTGGCAACAAATTCAAAACATTTTTAAAAATGTGCAGGGCAACCAAATTATGTGTGCATGCTGGTCATGGCCTGACCTGAGACTGCCACTTGCAGCCTCTGAGTTAGACCTTAGGAAGTACTTGCTGTCATTCAGAGATGCAATAAAGCATGACTGGAGGGGAGAATTGGTGTCTTCTTGCTGTTTTTCTTTGAGAACAAAAAACATCAACAAAGCTGGAGATAGCTGTCAGTGTACCTGGAGTTTGGAGGAAGGATTGACTTTATGAGTCAATACTTCATTCCTTCAGCCAGTACCAATCTCATCTATGATTCTAGTCCTACACCAAGAGAGTGCCTATGACTGATTATCTGTTTCCTTGGCCAGTTTGTATGCCCAGCAGGGCAGAGGATGGCATTCATGGCAGATACGTTCAGGGAACGCTGGGAGCATAAAGGAGTGTGGCCAGGGTGAAACATGGTGAGGTGCATTTGACTTGGGATTGTGTTTGTTTTATACTCAAGTAGCAATTGAGAGAGCACTGCATTAAGAGCACAGTCTGAAGTCAGACAGCCCGCCCCCAGCCCCGCTGCTTACAAACCTGTGACCCTGTGTAAGTAATGGAAAACGTGCCTGGAATATAGTAATTTTTTCAAAATATGAGTAATAAAAGATTTTAAAAATAGAGAAGTATATAGGAAAATAAATTAAAGTTCCTTCTACCTCTCCTCCACTGCATCTCCCCACCTCAGAGGTAACCACTGTTATGTAATGTATTATTTTCCAGGTCTTTTTCAGTGCATAAATATATACTCACCAAGTCAAATACAGGTGAATATATAATACATAGTGTATTGACATTAGATTATAAAACATGATAAAAATATTGTCTGCATTTTCAACTTTAGGACCAACCTTAATGTATTGAATATACTTTTAAAAATACATAAACAGATGTCATATAATTATATGCTCTGTGACTTACTTTTTTGACTCGACAGTATGACTGGGACATCTTCCAATATCAATAACGTAGATATGCTTCATTCTTTTTAATGACTATGTAGTGTTTCATAGTATAGATTCACTATAATTTAAACATTCCCCTGTTGATGAACTCTTAGATTGTTTCCAACTTTATTATAAACAATGCTGTAGTGAACATCCTTGTACATACATCTCTGTGTATATGTAGAGTATTTCTGGATAAAAGTTATTCTTAGACGTGGAGTTGTTCAAAGGGAATGTATATTTTAAACATTTATTTAAACAGAATTCCCTTTGTTTATTGGGATCTGGAGATTGTGCAGAATGAATTTCTTTCTTAGGTGGACTTGTTTGGGGTAGGGTATTTGGGGATAGGTAGTATTTGGGGTATGATATTTGGGGATAGGTAGTATATATAAGGCACAACATTCGAAGGGTATGAGAGGTAACACCTCCCTCCCACCCCACCCCCCCATTTCCCTTTTTTTTTTTATAATTTTATTTATTTATTTTTCCCCCAAAGCCCCAGTAGATAGTTGTATGTCATAGCTGTACATCCTTCTAGTTGCTGTATGTGGGACGCGGCCTCAGCATGGCCGGAGAAGCAGTGCGTTGGTGCGCGCCCGGGATCCGAACCCGGGCCGCCAGTAGCGGAGCGCACGCACTTAACCGCTAAGCCACGGGGTTGGCCCCTTATTTCCCTTTTTGGATACAACTAATTTTGCCAGTTTCTGTGTATTCTTCTAGAGATAATTCATGCATCTGTAGGCAAATAAAATGTATCTTCTGTTTTCTCCCTCTAAAAAATAAATATGGTGGCATACTATATACCTGCTTATAGAGTTTTAAAAATCTAACCTACATCTTGGGGACTAATCCAGGTCAAAGTTATGTGCATTGTTTTTTTTTGTGAGGAGATCAGCCCTGAGCTAACATCTGCCAATCCTCCTCTTTTGCTGAGGAAAACTGGCCCTGAGCTAACATCCATGCCCATCTTCCTCCACTTTGTGTGGGACGCTGCCACAGCATGGCTTGCCAAGCGGTGCATTGGTGGGCGCCCGGGATCCGAACCGGCACACCCCGGGCCCCCGGCGCACTTAACCACTTGCGCCACCTGGCCGGCCCCGTTATGTGCATTTTAAATGCTGATAGAGTCTTCCAAGTTTGCCTTTAAAAAAAAAGGTTAATCAATTTACACGCCGTAAAATTGCTCCATCAAATCCTTTTCCATTTTTTTCCATTGAATTATTGTGATTTCATCAGTTTGCGAGGCTCTTTCTAAATTCTGGACTTTAATCCATTTTTTCTTAATAAATCACATATCTTGCCTTTTATGTCTTCTTCCCCAACTTTGCTTATTGTACTTGTTTTTTTTTGTGAGGAAGATCAGCCCTGAGCTACCATCCACGCCAATCCTCCTCTTTTCGCAGAGGAAGACTGGCCCTGAGCTAACATCTGTGCCCATCTTCCTCCATTTTACATGGGATGCTGCCACAGCATTGCTTGACAAGCCGTGCGTGGGTGCGCACCCAAGATCCGAACCCGCGCTGCCAGCAGCGGAGCGCACACACTTAACCGCTACACCATGGGAGCGGCCCCTTATTGTACTTTTGATTGTGCAGACGTGTTTAATTTTTATGTAGTTAAACCTGTATCACTTTTCTCTGTGGCTTCAAGTTTTGTCTTGCTTAGGAAGTCCTCTCCTATCTCAAGATTAAATTTTCCTGAATTTTCTCCATTCTTTCTTTGCTTTTTTCATTTAAAAATATTTTATACTACTGTTTCTTTTCTTTTACTTGTTTTTTTTCAGTTTCCCTCCTCTCCACCACCTGGGAGGTCAGAGTTTGAATTTTCCTGTAGCATCTATATTTTTGTTCACTTTTATAGTGACTTTTTTCACCAAGTCTTAAGGATGAGCTGTTCTCCGGGTGGGAGAATAGGGAGAAAGAGCATTCTGGACAATGGAAACATTGTCATGTGCAAAGTCATGGAACTAGAGAA